TTTTTTAAAATTTTTCCTCTAATGTGAAATCATTATAATCATTTATAAATATTCAACTGAAACTATTATTGTTTAAAAGTATTACTTTTTTATTGAAGCTTTAATATTTAATTATAAAAAATACATTAAAAAATTTTTGGTTCAAGTTACTAGGTTTGGGAAAATGGACATTCGGAAATTTTGATTTTCGGAAGGGTGGCTTATGGGAAATTGGATTTAGGAAATTGACGTACTACACATTTTTATATGAGTTTCATAAATTATAATTAAAATTTGAATTGCGTTGAAGTAAATTTTTGTATTATATGAGATGAAGTCAAATTTTTGTAACATATATATCTGAAACCATATACCCATTAGTAAATATATATCATTATTCGAAATTACCTTTTATTTTAACCATTATTGTTTGTAGGAAATTCAATGGTAATATCAACATGTATAAAAGGTCAAATGAGAATTGAAAGGTCAAATGAAAAAGTACAAAAAAGAAAATTGAAGGCGATTTTAAATGTTATGTAAAAGTAAAATGCAATATATATATATAAGGAAAATGTTCATCTACGTATAAAATAAAAGAGTAATATATATATATATATATATATATATATATATATATATATATATATATATATAATGTAAAATGTAATGTAAAACATATATATATAATGTGAAATGAAATGTAATGTGTGGAATGTAATGAACCATAAAAAAAAGTAATGTATATGAGTAAACCATCACTCTAACAAAACTTGTATAACGAGAAATGAAAGTGCCCTTTTAAAATCCATCTTGAATAATATATGAAATAATCGATAATCGAAGTTTCTCGATACTGAAATCTCTTATGGACTTTGACATATATAAAAAATCGTCTCTGTTGTCCGCTGCAAGAGTTGGAGAAGGACCTATGGGAAGTGGTCGAGGATTGTTATTACGACCTCGGTAGCTGTTTTGCAACCAGTTGCCACATTCGCTCCTTCTTTGCGCTATATAAGACTCTTAACGGCATTAAAAGTAGAATATATATATGGACAGTTGGATATTGCAAGGAAAGCACACAACGCACAGCAAGTTGCGCTAAAAGTGCAATGCCGTTCTACTCTGCCGAATATACTACATACATATGCACTTATAATAGATTCTACCCAAGTACCAAACGAGTATACCTAACAAGGGGTGAATCTTTTGGCTTCTTATTTTCTCAATCTTCTAAATAGTTGCGCGTATCATCTCACTCATTCTGTATATACCATCTCCAAAAATGGGGTCGAAAATAAAAACAAGTTTACAAAAAGACAACAACCACAATTGCAAAAGATATATCCACTTTTTGTTTTGTTTTGTTTTAGAATTTTAATAGAAGAAGAAAAAAAGTGTTTATCTCTAAATCGGGATGAGATATTTCACAAACATTTTCATTTGACATTTTGTGAAGCAACTGTATCGGACACGGAATCGTTTAGAATTCTCATTTGGATTCAACCTTAGAATGGAATTAAACATCCAATTTGATTCGGATTCGAAGAGTATACATAATTAAAAATGAAATTAGATTTGATTCTGAACCCGGAAAATAAGATTAAATATCAATTGGATCAAAATCCAGAACAAAGTTAAAAATCAAAAATATACGAACCCAAAACAAATATAAAAATATAATTTCACTCAATTCCAAATCCTGAAGGAAATTAAAAGTGAAAAAATCGCATATTTGAACCCAAAATGGAATTAGAAATCAAAAATTTTGGCTCCATATCCGAAATTAATGCGAATATTTAATTTTTTTCTGATCTATGGATCAAGAAAGGATTTACAATATTTACTTTGGCTCAGATCTAGATCAGATAATGGAATTGAAAATCTAAATTGGTTCGCGGAACCAAAGCGGAATTAACAATTTAATTTGATTTAGATTTGGACCTTATAACGAATTTGAAAATTTTCCATACCTAGAAAATGGAATCAAAAATCTAGTTTGTATATAATAAATCCGGATTCAAAATAAAATTGGAAATCTTCTTTTATTCTAATCTAAACCAGGAACGGAATTCAATCTAATTTTAGTCATCAGTAATGAAATTAAAAATTTCATTTAATTGGAATTCGAAACAGGAGCGAAAATAAAAATTTAATTAAATTTGAATCTGGTTCCGGAAAAGAATTTAAAATCTTTTTCGATAATATTCGTCAGACTCCGAATTGAAATTGACTTTTAATTCAGATACAGTTTTTCAAAGTGGAACAAAATCAACATTTGTGTTATGTTGGCCACCCTGATATTGGTGAAAACGTCTTCTTGTTGTATTTATGGTTATTATATGCGCTTATATATAATACATATATATACATTTATATACACACACAGAAACACATACCAAAAGCGAAATTCACTTTTTGTCGATGGACATCACTTCCACTTATGTAGATGGTTTATGAACGTCTGGAAATCTTTTTATGGTGGTCCCTTACATACTTCATGAAACTGAAAATTTATGTGACGTCTCGCTAAATAATGTTAAAAATAAGACACAAAGAGATTTTCTCGCTGATATGAGTAATAGATTTTTTTTTTTTTTTTTGTAGAAAAAGTATGAACATGAAAAGCTGTAAATTTGTGTACATATTTGCATATGTAATGTTTAAAAATATTTCCTAGGAATGTAATTTTCTTTCCTTTAAATTATGATATTTTTGTATTTTTATAAATCTATGATAAAAGTAGAAGTAATATTAAAAAGAATATTGAAATTATCATATTCTTTTATAATTTTAATAGTTGACATTCTTTATAATTATTTGTAAAATTTACGATTTGATATAGTAATAATTTTAATTTTAACAATTTTTAAATTTAGCGCCATTTTTAATGTGGTTTTGTGTTATACAATTGGTACTTAAACTTATCAGTTTTTAAGATTTCTAACCTTAAAATTCTGCTATTTATTATATATATTTTCTAAAAAAAAATTTTGTAATAAATAAATTATTGTTGTGTGATAAATTGAAAAAAATCGGTTTTTTTAATATAAAAAACTTAAACTCAAATGCAAATATATACTTTAAATGTTTAACGAGCGATTATAATGGATTTTGTGACGTATTTCTTTTTGTCAAGAAATTTTTGTCTCTTTTTCTTTGTGTTTAAATAAGAAAAAAAAAGTAGTTTAAGACTGCGCCTACGATTCATCCATCCGTGAATTATAAATTGAGCGTGAGAAAACCGTAAAATATTCGCAAATCGTGAAAGGTTAAAGCTCTATATGCAACTTTTCAGCCCTTCGAAGGTAACATGTCTGGAAGTGAATAATGATTAGTTTCCAAGTTTTATATTCATTGGAGTATTTCCGATAATGGAGGGAAACTTATTCTCGCGCATACATATATATATATATATATAGAAAACTAATTAGTTCATATAATGCAATTGCATCTTTATAGTTAAATGAAGATATTTTGTTATACAAATATTTTTCTATAATATATAGTTATAGACAAAATACATCTATTTTCTCGTCAGAATAAAATTTATTAACTCAAAAGCATATTATGGTTGTCAATTTTAGATTTATGTTTAATATTTTGTATATTTATTCCTTCGTATCTTTTCTACATTAATATAATATATATATATATATTTTCAAATTTTTTTTTATATTAAATGAATACTTTTTATTTGGAGAAAAGGCCTTAATTTATGTAACTGTCTAAAATTATACGATTATGCCTCAATTTTTACCAAATACATGAATAAAAAGGTCCTACTTTAATAAAAAAAAAAAAATATAATAAAATTAGCATAGGTAGATTATAAGAAGTAAAAGCCGTTCTGAAAAGTAAAAGTAGTTCCGAAAAAGAGTGAAACAGAAGTTAAACCACTCTTACTATCAGCATCCAACAGTATGTCATAAATTTGAAAACGACGAGAAGATTCCGTAACGGAATATAAAGTTAATTTTTGCCTCTTATTGACTATTACTGTATTATTGAGTTAAAATATTCTGTAAATATTTTGCTGTAGTAGAAAAAAATTCTTTCACTCATTCAATTTTATATAGAAATTAAAAATATTATGTAGTTGATAATAAAAATATGGGACAATATTTCTTTTTTATTGATTATTTTCAAAGTTAAGAATAAGTTTTCGTTTAATAACAAATGTTTATTTGTGAAGCGCAACGTTTGTATAAATTAAAATTTTTGAATTTTTTAAACTAAGGCTATGTAAAAAGTCCCGCTTAAAAATTTTTTTTTGATTTTAAAACTTTTAATAACTCAGTAATATTCTGATCTTAAATATTCGAAAGTAGGTCGCAGTTATGATAGTTGAAAAGTTCAAAAATTTTTAAATACAAATTTTAAAATATTCATCTTTTTCTCACATTTTTTTGTTTTTTTAAAACGTTTTCATTTTAGTCAAAGTAAATTTTTTTAAACATTCACTAGAATCTGTAACTAATGCAGAATTATTTTTCGTTTATAGATTTTTAAACGATAATAGATAATGTTCGAATTTTTTCGATGTTAATATCATCTTTTTAGAAATACTTTACTCAAACGTAAAAGATTGAATAAACATTTGTAGTTGTCATCTAATTCATCAAACAATAGTGTGTGAAAGCCAACATTCTCAATTACCCCATATGGCCTTTTATAAACAATACCGCAACTAATGTATGTCACTTTTAACAAATAATTAACAATAAGTTTCATATGAAAAAAATGGTTGTAACATTTAATTTAATTACTACAAACTATGACCATTGCTAATTTAATAGTTTCCACAATTATTTTTTTCCAAGTGGCAAATAAATAATGTGTAATATTTCCCAACAACCTTTTTTTGTCATTTTCTATTGTGTATACATAATTCTCTTTCCCATTTAGAGGGAGGGAGAATAAAACAAAAGGAATTTGAAAAAACAATGCTCATGCGATATATAGCGTAATGAAAGAAATTCAGTATATAGAAATAAAAGAAAACTAAAGAGTTCTCTTACCCAATCCATCTTGTCTGCAAGAACAACACTATCGTGCTCTGATGAAGAGCTGGATGATTATATCCTGTAGGTCGTCACACAGTTTTCAAGGACGTTGCATCTTTGCCCGACAATTATGTCGTGCGTGTGCCCCACGAGAAAATTCACGTGCGGCTTTTTCTTTTAAATGTTAACTTAAAAAAAAAAAAAGAAAAAGAAAAATTTTCTTATCCCCCAAAAAAATTATTGAAGATAACAGAAAAAAATTTAACAAAATAAACTATGAACAATCAAAAAATTCGGTGTGGTTTTTTTATCAATAAAAATAATTATCCATCAAAGAAATAAACAAGAAAAAAAAAAACAAATCACAATTGCACAAAATCTTGACCGCGTTCACTATACTGAGACGAGAGGAGCGTCCAACTGGCGCGAAAACAAGACGATATCCCTTTCGCATTTACTGACGACGAGAGATACTCTTTGGTGCAGAGCCACTGTTACTTTCATGGGTCGCCATAACCACCGCCACCTTCATCACCTTCGTTGTGGCCCCACCAACTAGAATTTCAGTTGATGATGGAAGGAGCTTGAATCTAGGGAACGTTTCCCATTCCTATGCTCAATAGAAATGTATATATATATATATATATAAGAAAAGTTATAGCACACTCATGATATATACATATATATATTATACTTTGGTGGACAGTCAGCTGGATTATCTCTGGCGGGGGTGGTGAAAGGAAGACATTTCTTCCCTTTTCTTCATCACCCCGGACCCCGTTCTCTACAAGCAAGTTTTCTTTGATTCTTCATTCCTTTCTTGCAATATACATATATATATATATATTTTTTTTTTGTGCATATATGTGTGTTTTTAACTCTTCATGGTAATCACATTTGCAACCCACGTACATGGATCATATGTCTTGTCTTCCGCAGGAATGCAGTTGCAGGTGTTTGAGGCGCCGCTCAAATATAATTTTTTAAAATTTCTGATAGTGACGCGACCTTGAAAAAAATATACAAATATTTGGTCAATTTCGCGAAAAACAAAACCATGTGAAAATTTATTTTTTCTTTAGAGGTTTCTTGATTATTTTTAGGTAAATACAAATCCCAATGTATCAAGTACATAATACAATTGTCAACATGAAATCTATTGTTTGTTTTGATAATTCACACTTGTTTCACGTTACCCTTACTTTTACATTCATATTATAAAGTCCCTTTTCTTAATCAATAATGAGTTCCCGCGTCTTTGTCACGCAACTTAAAACCTTTTCTTTTTCTCTTTTTTTCCTATAATATTTCTATAATGAAATCGGAAGAACCCCTCTTTTAACATTCAACTGAAAGACAAACTTCATTTTTTGGCCTCTGTCTTCTAACAGTAGGGTGGAAAAAGCAACACGCTACCATAAAATTTTATCTATTCTCTTTATAAAAATTCGGTATAAAAGGACTACATTTTTGAAGGAATGACCAGTTGAGAATTTATCACCGAACCCGCTATATCTAGTTCAGAATCTTGCAGAAGTATTCTCCAATTTTATACTCAAGTTGTACTTTAAAGAATTTCTGTGTCAAAGTTTTTACGTCAAGAAGAACTCATCCAAGTATTCAAGACTTTGACTTTTCTATAAATATTTGGAAATCATCTTTTCTTCCTTTTCTGAAAGAATTTAATTATTTGGGTTTTCATCACGGTCAACTGAACTCCTGACCTGTGCGGTCATCACCCAAGACCCGTCAACTTTCCTGCGAGCTTCATAAATTGATATCTGGTACCAGACGTTCCTATCATAATTAGCACACAGCAGTGGTCCTTTTTCATACATCTTACATCTAAATTTTTAAGGTAAGTCGTAATATTTTTTATCTAAATCCTTCCTAACTCATTATAAAAATTTGTAGTAACCTTTACATTCCTTGTTGCAGTGGAATGCTAACTTCCTTATCCCAAGAATGGTTGCTTCAGGATACTCTCTCTTAAAAGTCAATTTTATAACTCTAAATGTTTGTCTAAATAAACTTGTAACCTTGTTATTAAAAATCAATATTTTCTTTCTTCTCTGTACCCTTAGCTCAGAGCCTTCTGCTCTGTAAATGAAACAGGAATTCACTGAATCACCAAGCGGCCATAAATAAAATATTGTTTCGCTAGTTATTTTTCTATTTGAGACGTAACACTTGTTACGTTTTTAAAAAACTCGCAGAATATTTAAAAAATGTTAAAAGGCAATGTGCACCGGCCCAGAGGGTGCGACGAAAAAAAATAAAAGAGCTGGAAGATGAAATGTCGATTTCGCTAATAAAGAATTAATGTTTTATCATTAAAATATCGAATTAATTTTAATAACTGTTAACATTTTTGCTTCTATAAACTTGAAAATTTTTTTTTCACTCATGACTACATTTTTCTATTGTAAGAATATAGTATATATAAACTGAAGGATAAAAATATTTAAATATAGCATTATAAAAAAATTAATGTGCCGAAATTTAGTTTTAATTAATGAGTCCTGTGTTCTTCAGTATGGCTTTTATTTATGAGGATACTGTTTTGGAATGCAGGAAAGATATAATGTGTAAAAAGAAAGGTAACAATATTAAATTACCGCATTGTTTGAAATTAATATCCTTTGAGAGTGAAATAAATTAAAAACAACCGTTTCGGTAAATAAAAATACCAATGGATGAAGACACTATATAATTTATCATTATTATATTATTATATTATTATCATGGAAAATTAAACTTATTTTAAATTATTGTTAATGTATTTAAATAATGACGTATAGCCACACAAAAAAAATTTTCTGGACTTGTGTACAGACTATGTTTATTATACGTTTTTGAGGTTGTTGAAACCAAATCCACTGTCCATTTTATACCATTACGACAGGTTCTTGACTAAAATATAAAACTCTTATAACCGAAGCGCAATTAACAAGATCAATAATTGTACTAATTTTTACCTTCTAAAAATGAATTTTAAAGGTTAAGTCAAGAACCTGACATGATGGGGTAAAATGGTCAGCGGATTCGGATTCAGCAACCCTAAAAACGTTAGTATAATAAACATGATCTCAATTTCAGGGTTAAATTTTTTTGTTTTTCTATTTTTTGTTAGATATTTATAAAAATGTTGTGTATACACACATCACGGAACGATATTTCTTAAAAATATGATTTTTAGATTCCTGAGGTAGAAAAATATAAAGATACATAAAAAAATCGCGAGATTCAAAAATTTCGGTATTGCAATGTTTTCTCTATGAGGAAGCAATAATAATGATCATTAAATGGAATAAAAAATCAGAAAACATAATATAGTAATTATAAAATTATCAATTAAAATTATTATATATTTAAAATTTTTTTTTCCATTAATTACAATTATTAAAAATTATCACCGAATGAAAGTAGAAAATTTGTTGGAAACTGCCATTCTTTGAAACTCTCATAATAATTATTAAAATTACTATAAAATGAAAGTACAGGATTATTTAAAGCTACCATCAGTTATTTAAAGCTACAATTTATTAAAACAGATAATCACGTAATATTATTGTTTTGAAACTATCAATTCAATAATGAGACTATCAATTAATTGATGATTAATTTTATTCATCGATTTCTTTAAATAATTTATTAAACAGAAATAAAAATTAATGTGTTACTCCCTAAATCTGAATTAATAAACGTTTTATAACTAGTTTGAATTAGTGATTCACTTTTTAGTATGAAATTAGTAAAATTTATGTAATTTAGAAGCAAAAAGTAAGCTACTAATTCAAATTAATTAAAAAATTTAATTAATTAATTAACACAATTATTTGGATTAAAATTGTGAAGCTTAAAAATTTATTTACTGTATATAGCCTGATTAAAACAAAATAATAAATACATAAAAAGAAGAAATAAGAGTAAAAAATAAATTTCCATTTATGAGGAATAAAATGTGTGACATAAAATTCTAAAAAATAAATAAAAAATAGAAAGGTTTTGAAAGTCAATATGACTATCTATTTGCATATTGTTATAATCATAAAAATATTCTTTCTGACCTTTAGAGGTATATAGGTATAGGTATTCAGTCATAAAGGAAAGTTATAAAATAATTATTATATCCTACAAGCAGAAACTATAACCTTCTGCAATAATATTAAATTTCTTATAATAATAATTTTTTTGTATTAAAAATTCAATCCCTTTTTTCGAAAAAGCGATTTTCTTTATAATAAAGAAAATTTATTTACTTTTTTAATTCATAAAATTCAATTTTACTCATCCTTTTTAATTAAATCAAAAAGAAATCATATAATGCAATTTTACTATATGTCATTAAATAAAAAAATGTAAAATGAACAGGAATCATTTTCAATGTAATTTTCAAATCGAATAATAAAATCTAGAAATTATTTTAATATCCCTTTCTCTTAGCTAATAAAGTAAGATAAAGTAATGTCCAAAGCGAGTTAATACCGAATAAGATGCGTCAGTGATAAATTATAAAGTGTTGAATATAAGATGTCAAAAATCACACACACACACACACACACACACACACACAGATAAATATATACTGTATCAAAATTACATATGATAAAATTATAGGTATAAATCATTAACGATCAACAATTGCTGATTCTTCAATAGCTCTATAAACAATTTCATTTAATCATTAAACGATTATGTTTTACGATAAATCATTTCTAATCATTTATATACCAAATATAATGTGTTTATGAATTATCTAATGATGAGAGATAAAATTTTGCTATTCATTTCATCGCTCTGAAACATCCAAAGAGCAATATTATTTATTTTTTGTTAATGAACATATAAATTGTTAATTAAAAATAACTAAATATTCATTGTGTAAGTAAATTTTAATAATAAAATTATATGATTTGTAAAAAAAAAATTTTGTACAATATAAATACGCAATGAAATTATCATTTAATCACTTGGAATGGTAGTTTTTGACAAGAGAAAGTGCTAAACATGTCACGAGTTAAATTTGTGTAAAATCACAATATCACTTGATATGTATATGGGGCACACTCTTCCTCAAATATCACAGACAAAATTTATAAAAAATTTATTGGATTTAAAAATCCTCAAAAAAATGTAACTAATTAATTTTTAAAACTAAATAAAAAATTCTAACCCCTCCACTTTCCACCATTTTTTAAAGCAATTTATTAAAGATTCAAGACAATCCTGAACAAAATAAAATTAAAAGTGTAGAAAAAATTTGACAGCCCGATACAAGTAGGGGAAGACGCTTATTACCACCTTTAAGGCAAACCCTAAATTCCGAAAAAATTCAATTCTTCTCAGGCAGACTATTTTATTGCAATTTATTGCACAAAATAGACCTAAAAGTGTAGAAAAAAATTGACAGCCCGATAGGTGTAGAGGAAGACACCTACACGGAAAGAAATTTAGTAGCAATATTTGATAAATCTGATAGGAAATTTTAGTATTCTCTTTTTCAAACGCGGAACAT